GGGGGGGGGGGGGGGGTTCTTTTTCTCGCTTTGCTTTTCTTAGCGTTCCTCATCTATGCGCATCTCTGGGTTATGAAGGTGAAGAGCTGTGCAGGAATGCAACTCCTGAGCCGATCACTCATTAACATGTCCTTTGGGATGCTCTGGGCCTGGTGGTTCATGGTAGGGTCAGGTGGATGACTGCAGCTCAATATCCGTGTGCAGAACCAGAGTTCAGGTGAGCGTAAGCACTGTTCTGTGCAGCCAGCAGAGCTCAGCCCCAAACACTCATGTGCAGAGTGTCTGAGGAGAGATGCTCCTGTTCAATGTGATTTTTGAGCTCCCTTCCTGGGTTTCTTACCTGCTATTAATAGAAGGAACTTGGGGCCCATGCTGCAACAACCTATTAATGCAGGGTCTGTGCCTCACACTCTGCCTTTTCCCCTGTGCTTACAGAGTCACCTGCACCAGGCAGGATTGAGCCCTCAGCAACACCGTTATTTACCTGCTCATGGGGCAGCTCTTGCCTCCAGTGTGGGCAGGTGCCACGTGACAAAGGGAGGCTGTAGCTGGAACAGCAGTCTCTGTTCTTCCATACTCCTGCAAACAGCAGCATTTCCACCCAAACGGGACCTGTCAGTCAGCGAGCTGGCATGCAGATTACTGAAAGATGTTCAGTGTTCTCCCGCCTGCTTTGTGCAGCTTCAAAGAGACATGAAACTCTGCTTAATAGCAGCCCCCCAGAGCAGCAGTGGGTGGGTGGGTGAGTGGGTGTGCACACCATTCCACATGTTGTCTTGTGTTTTAAGACTTGAGTAGTGATATTAAGTAACTGAAAGGTTCTGAAGAGTAATTGCACAGCCTCACTCAGATCGCTAGCACAAAAAAGCTTTGTCCAGACCACCGCAAAGGTCCCACTGCTGTCTTCCCCCAACTGCTCAGCTGTCATTGCGAGTTGGATGCTCCGAGCCACCTGCTGCCCTCCATTATGCTGACTGGAATTGAGGACAGAGTTGGGTCCTTTCTTCTTATTAGAGTAGCATGAACCCTGAAGTCAGGCAGATTGAGCTGTGGCTCGACTCATCCTGTGCATGTGACCTGCTAAGGAGAGAGTGCACAGTACATCCACGCTGCCAGAAGCCGGTTTGATCAGTTTGGGTATTGACTAACGAGAACCGATCTGTTCGCCTTGGGTCATTTCTGTCCAGTTTATTATCCAGTGGCTTTTGGTCTGATGCTGATGGAAACTGAGATCCTTTTAAAATGGGGAAGTCCATTTACCCAGGCAGCATAATGGAAGCATTGAATTTGTCTAGAGTGAAGCTGTCTGGATAGGCAAGCTGCTGGAAAGGGGTGGATATTTGTAGCCTGTTAGAATGCCGTTGCAGGGAGTAAAATCTGAAAGCGAATCTGTTGAGGGAACAGGAAGAGGGATTAGGGTCTGGTACGATCTGAGTTCTGCTGGGGTTGCGCGGAGTTTGCAGAATTAAGGGGCAGCTTGCAAAGAGCATACATGCCTCTTCCCTTCGCAGCTTTCTGGTGGGACCCTCCAGGCTCACTCTGAGATTCCGTTCAAATAAAAACCCTTGCAGATGACTCTGATCAGTTTAGATGCAGTCCCGCCGGGCAGCGGGAGAGCTCGTGAATCACTGGCAGGGTGGGCGTTCCATTGAGGAGGGGGAGGGGACCTCATTAAATCGAACATCCTTCAGAGGAGGAAGGGGCTTTTCGGAGGGAGCTTTTATTTCTAAATGGTTATTGAAAGATCTGTGCCACTCTGCAGAGAGCCTGAAACATCCCGCACCCTTGGTTGGATCTGTGCTAAATGGCTCTTCAGGGGCACATGCTGAAGAGAGGACATTAGGATGTCAGGCCACATAGAAAGCCATCTTTTCTGGAGGGGGCCGTTGTCTTCTGCTCCCATGGTGGTGGTGGCGGTTGGGTGTGCATGTCTGTGATATAACCGAGCTGAAGCACTTTTTGCTTGTGGGCTTCATCCTGAAACGTCCATTTAAAAATGTTGCAAACTTGCTCCCCCCGTCATTAACTACCTTGTTGATCTGGACCCCAGTTTGGGCTCCTACAGAGAGACCAAGCTGGGGCAGTCCCATCACCCCCACCCTATCCCACCCTCCACATTCAGGATGGAGCTAGAATCAGCATCCAAGACTTGAATCTAAAAATAAGAGTGTGAGCATTTGCAAAGATGTTTCCATCCTCTTTCTCTCCCCCCCCCCACACGCACACTTCCCCTGTTCCAGCTGACGAACACAGGGATTCGGAAGCTCTTTGCATCTTTATTTTAAACCGCTCTCATCTGAAAGAACTGGACTGAGCACTTGGGAGGCATAAGGGGTGGCAAGGACAAATTCACATGCTCTTGATGGCTGGCATCCCTCTCTTCTTATTTTTAACGCTGCTTGGCTGATAATGGTAAGGCAGCATAATGACTGGAGAACAATAGACGCAGCACGATGGGTCACAGCTTCCGTGTGGGCGGAGAGCTGCCAGCCTTCAGCAAGCATTTAAAATTCTTATTTTCATTAATCGAGCGTCAGCAATTGTCATTAGGAGGAGAGACAAAATTAGCTTGGCGGGGTCTTCTTCCCACCCCTCGCTGCCCCACCTGACGTCTCTGGGATTCAGCTGGGGAGGGTTGGGGGAGCGCAGGAGGGGGAGCCCACCGCACAAACAAAAAATGAACAGGTTTGAATTTTCTTTTTCAATCCACAATGTTTATCGATTTGGCTGGAATTCAGCTGAGGAAGGAGCCCAGCTCTGCTTCGAGGAGGGTTATTTGAGGTGCTGCACAGGCACGTCATTGAGACTGGGGGGACAAAGCGAACCAAAATACCGGTTTCTTGGAGAGGAAACATGGCTGGGATGTGCTGCCTGACAGTTGTAGCGTGGGGCTGGGGGAGCCAAGGGTTTAACAAGGGGCCAGTGATTTTTTTTTTTGGGGGGGGGGGATGGCAGAGGATGGCAGCATGACATCTGTCTTAATGGAGTCTGTTTGGGGTTTTTCCCCAGGCACGGCAAGGAGGGGGGAACCACACCCGAACTTTCTTGGAGATGTGTCCCGTTTTAAGGGATCAGATGTTGGGACCCCCGACTTACTCACTGGCTCAGGATTGCTGGGTTTCGTTCCCAGCTCTGCCAGTGTCTCACTCTGGGCCCTTCAGCATGTCACTTAACCAACCTGCTCAGAACATGGCCCTGGATGTTTGTGGTGCTGTTGCTGGTTTGGGCACTTGGCATCATGTTCTCAGGACCTGGTTTTTTCAGAGGATGCAGGACTGATGGCTGAAGTGCGTGGAAGCTCTTGCTGCTCAGCATCCCACCCTGGCGGCTCAGGGGGGCTCCCTAAATTGGCGGGTACCCCTGAGAATTTCGCCCTGTGTTTTGCATTCTCCAGTGGCAGCTCAAGGATTCTGTGTCTGTCTGAAAGCTGAAAGAAAAGCCAGCTTCTGGGGGCTAGCGATGCTTGCAGCTGAACCAAGCGTAACCTCTTAGGAGAGATCCCTCTTGGCTTAAGGCTTGTAAGCAATGGGGAACCCACCTTGGGCACATCAGCTGTTCCAGGGGTTACTTCACCTCCCTGTTAAAAAAACAAAAACAAAAAAAAACACACAAAAAAACACGTGCCCTTTTTGAGCCTGCCATAGCTGATCTTGTGTTCTCAGCTTTCACATTACTCTACCTTGGCTCCAGTTCCCCGCTTCTGGGGGCTGCCGGCCGGTTTGCCACCTGGAAGTTTCCACACACGCAAGGCATCCGAAATGCTGTTTCTGATGAAGTTTAGTGGATGTTGTTCGTGTCAGCTGCCCCCCAGCACCAAGGAGCATGGGGAGTGCCTGGCTCTGGGATGCCCATTAAATGCATCCCATAACAGGGGAGCTGGGGAACTCGCAGCAGGGCCTTTGGCTGGAGGCATGGGGGAGTCGACAAGAGCAGCGGCATCTGCTCCACAGGCCAAGAAGCAGGAGCGTGGAAGCGCTCAACAACCTCTTCCCCTCCCCACCAAGTAGAAACCATCACGGTCCCCCTTGGCGTCCCCTCCCCCCGGGATGGGGTGATGGCTGGGATGACGTGATGTTCGGCCTTGGGGAAGGAGCTGAGCATCCTTTCAAGAAAAGGATACATAATCGCCGTGCAGCCCCCGCTACCGTTTGAGCCTCTGAGTCAGAACTGAAGAGCCCTGGAGCGTGACGTTCCTTCCAGAAGGAAATTACCTTGGCTGGATCAGGCAGCAGGGGGGAGGGAGGAGAGCCCAGCAAGCTGATACCCTCTTGTTGCTACCCCCCTCCAACCCCGTGTCCGATGGGCTTTGTCCCTGTCATGCTGAGTTGCTCTGAGCTGCCTGGGGCTACCTGGCACTGGTGGAGGGCAGAGATCCCGTGTCCTCTGCCAGGCACTTCAGGGCTCTGTAAAACCTCCGGAGTGAAATTCACCCCTGTGCCAAGGGGATGACAAACCCAGGCCTTCGCTTTCACAGCAAGAGGGTAATGGCTAAGATCAGTCCCGAGTATCCGGAGCCTGTGGCGTAGGGGTTATAGGTGTTGTTCCAGCCCTATGTGCATGGCAGGGAAGGAGGCACTAGAAGCAACACGTGGTGTTTGTAGGTGGCTAATGGGAGGGGAAGCTGTATTTTGGGAACCCCTTGTTCAGATGGGTCCCAGCTTGACCCATGACCCCTCTTTTGGCCCCGCAGGCAGCAAAGCAGATTTCACAAAAATTTAAATTTGAACGTGGAATTTAGAGTGATCCACACCTGCCAAGCCTTGTCCTTAATGAAAATAGAGCCAGTCTTCTCTCCACCACCAGCCAGACCCTCTCACCTTGCACTGACCCCCACCCCTCCTGCTTCTCTTCCAGGACAGGTGCCTGACGAGGAGGCCGGGCAGAACGGGCAGAGTCGCAGCAAGGGGCTGCCCAAGCCAGTGTGTATGAATGGGACAGAGCCAGGACAGCTGAGCACCAAATCGAAGGCAGAGCGGCGGGCCAGCGCCTCCTCCAACCCTTCCCGCAAGGCCTGCTCCGCCAGCAGCAAGATCCGCAAGCTCTCCACCTGCAAGCAGCAGTGAGCCTGGAGCGCTGCGCTCCTTGCAGGTACGGCTGGACCTCCTAGGCTCGTGGGCTACATGGCCTGGTGGGGGGGGCTGTGGGGAGGATCTTCGTGCAGACCCTGGCTGTGTAACCCCAAGGCGCTCTAGGTAGGAGGATGGACCTGGACCCCCAGTGATGATGGATGCAGGGAGGGATGGCCCTAAGGCTGGTGCACCTGTCTTGGAGATCCCACCCCAATGAACACAGCCTGACTGCCCTGACCAGGACCCCTCACCCTTCCTGGGATCAGTCTGAGACCTGGGAAACCCAAAGGTGGGGCACTGTTCTCTGCCTGAGGGGGTCTGAGCTGTGGGGAGGGGGAATGGGTTGCTTTCTTCGCTTGCATACCACAGGGCTTGGCCCAGGCCTGGACCTTCCTCCACTGGTTCCTGCCCCACTGCCCTGTCACCTGGTGCTAGTTCCTGGGGCCAGAGCTGTAGCACTGACTCCCACCTGAATGCATACCAGGCTCCCAGGAGCTTTAAACCACATCCTCTTCCCGCTCCCACCAGGGAGCCACTGACGGGCACTAGAGGACAGGTCAGTCTGATGCCTGGCAGTCGGCATCAGAGGATAAGGAGTTACAAAGGCAGCTATGGACAGGCGGGGTTGGGATACCCAGGCAGGGGCAGGTCAGAAGACAGTGTCTGTCCAGAGAGCCAGCTTCCTGGGGCAGGGTGGTGCTGCGGGGCAGCAGGCACCAGGGAGAAGGCACACGCTTGTTTTCCAGGAAGGGGTTAAGTCAGAGCCCTGTCTCTGCCTGCTGGGGTGGTGGATGTAGAGGCACAAACCAGCTCATCAGAGCTGAGTGCTTCCTCCTGTTCCAGCAGTGCCGCCTGCCTGCCTCCTGCCATAAAGGGGCCTGGCTGAGTCATGCCAGCAAAGGCTCCAGCTCCTTGCTGGTCCTTCTGTGAGGCACCCCTGGCACTCTGCTCCAGAAAGCTGGCAGGAGGGAGGGACTTTCTTCCTCCAGATTCCCCAACTCGGGTGTCTCTGGGGCTCTTTAGCTCCGTACCTCTGGCCCTGCCTCCTCAGGGGTGGCTCTTAAAGGGCTGGGGAGAATGTGCAGCACAGTGGGAGCAGGTGGAAAGGGCCCCCAGCCCAGGCTCTGCTGCCTCTGCCCACGTGTGGGTCAGTCCCAGTGCTCAGCGGTGGGCCCGCAGGCTAGGGCCATCCCAGTCCGCTCCCCGGTCTCAGCCAGCTGTCATGGCTGGCTCCATCTCCAGCATGCAGAGAGGCACGGAGCCCTCCTCCATGCCTACCCCTTGCGGGTCTTCTGTCGTCACCTGGATTCGTACACTGATGACTCATGGCCAGCCCCCGTCCCCACCCCCAGCCCTGCTCGCTCCCATCACGCGCTCCTCCATGGCACTGAGGCTCTGTTATCTCTTTGGATCCTGACCAGCTTTGTAGCTTGAAAAAAGCCAGGAATAAAAGCCTGTTCCTCCCATTGCAGCTGTCAGGCCTACGTAAGGCCCATGTGGCCGGCTTTTTTGCTTTCATGTTTAATTCATGGCCGGCAGTGAGTCACCTGCCCAGGGATCTAGTGCAGCAGGGAGCCACTGGCTTGGTTGTGGCCTCAGGCAGGGACTTCTGCTCCTACCTAGTTGTCCCAGTGCCGGAGGGACACTGATGCTGGGGTTTGGGGTGGAGGGAGCAGGTTCCTCCATCCTGGTTAACTCTTCAGGGTCCAGCCTCAGCACACTTTGCATGCAGGGACTCTGTCCGGTTGGAAATCACCTGCCTGTAACCTTATTCTCCTCCTGCTAATGCCCCAAACCTCTCAGCTGTTCCCTGCCACTGACTAGGGCACTTTACCTGGCAGCCTTGCCCAGTGTTCCCAGTGCAATTCAAAGGTTCCCAGTTATCCCGACAGAGCGGGATTGGGGTCTTTAGGTGCTGGACAGAAGGGCTTGGTCCACAATCCGAATGAACAAGGGAGGGGGAAGGGTAGGGTGCCCTGCATGGTACCCAAGTGCCCTGCTTCTCCCCTCCTAACACCCCTCTTTTTTTTCTTTCTCTCCCCAGGCCAGCCTGTGCCCCCATCCTCGCCCCATCTCGGCACCTCCCTGGAGCGGACGATGCTTGCGATCCAAAAATCACATGAGAAACCCTCCTTCCCTTCCCACCCTGTATGGACGGCCCACGACGTTGCCACTGTGGGCAGCCCCTGCCTCCCAGTCTCCCTCCGCTGCCACAAGGATGCCCCAGCCCCCATCACTCTTTTTGCCAATCAAGACACCGACTCTGTTTT